CTACAAAAGACAGTTCAAGTGACGATGAAGAAGAGATTCCAGACCTAAAAGAACAAACTTGGACATTTGCAAGTTGTGAGCATGATTTCTCAATTTTTAAAAGGTATTCAACCCTAGCAAAATTACAAGACATTGTTGCATATATCCTACGATTTAAATCAAACTGTATTGCCAAGATTAATAATTCTAAAAAACGCCTAACACTTTTAACTGTACAAGAATATAATGATGCAATGAAATGCTTATTGAAACTTGCTCAAATTCAAGAATTTTCTGAGGAGCTAATGGCTTTACAAAATAATAAACCCTTGAAATTAAGTAGCAAACTAATCAATTTAAACCCTTTTTTAAAGGATGGCCTTATTCGAGTGGGAGGCCGAATCAATAATTCTTCTTGTCAGGAGGATCAAAAGCATCCTATAATTTTACCTCAAAAACATACATTGACAGAATTGATTATTACACATTTCCATCATGAAAACTTGCACGCAGGGGTACAATGTCTTCTTGCTATAATAAGATTACAATACTGGCCACTTTCAGGCAGACAAGCTGTCAAACGAGTTTTGCGTAAATGTGTGCAATGTTTTAAGGCCAACCCTGTGCCCCTGACTCAGCTAATGGGGGATTTGCCCGCTGCAAGATTTGCTACTTCACGACCTTTTTTTAAGTGTGGGGTCGACTATGCAGGTCCATTCCTGATAAAGGACGGAACTTTGAGAAAATCAAAACTAGTGAAAGCATATATGTGCATTTTTGTATGTTTTTCGACAAGAGCAGTTCATATTGAACTTGTTCCAGATCTGTCAATAGAGGCTTTTCTCAACGCATTCAAAAGATTCATTTCAAGGCGTGGAAAACCCTCTGATATATACTCTGACAATGGTACCAATTTTCAAGGTGCATCGAATGAATTGAAAGAACTCTACAAACTACTCAATGATCAATCTTATAACAATCAAATTTCAAATCTGTTGAGCAGAGAATCAATATCATGGCATTTTATTCCGGCACGATCGCCTCATATGGGGGGCCTGTGGGAGGCTGCTGTGCGTTCAGCAAAGTATCACTTGAAACGTATTGTTGGTAATAACAATCTTAATTTTGAACAAATGTATACTATACTGGTTCAGATTGAAGCATGTCTCAATTCTCGACCCTTGACCCCAATTTCCGATGATCCCAACGATTTTTCCTGCCTTACCCCTGGTCATTTCCTGATCGGCGATTCGATGTCCGCGATACCTCAACCCAATTTGCTTGAGATTAAGGAATCAAAACTCAACCAGTATCAACGTATACAACAAACACTCCAACACTTTTGGAAGCGGTGGTCGCGAGAAGTATTATCGCAACTACAAGAACGCAATAAATGGAAACGAGCTTTAAATGATTCCTTACAACCGGGGACATTAGTGATTATAAAGGATGATAATCTGCCTCCATTAAAGTGGACCATGGGGCGAGTCACAGAAATTCATCCGGGTCCAGACACTCTAGTTCGAGTTGTGTCAGTTCGTATGCCAAACGGAACAGTTTTAAGACGGTCAATCACAAAAATTTGTGTGTTGCCCATCGAGGAGCAACTCAAAAAAAACTAAGGTCAATTTCGCTTCACACTCTTACCTAATAGTGTTTTTTTGTTTTGTTTTGTTAGACTTTACTATTATTTCTAAGTTCAAGTACGATTTTTTTTTTTGCGTTCGTTATTAAAAGCCCAGGGACCTTTTAAGGCGGCCGGCTATGTTAAGTAAATTTCATAAATAAATCTAAGTTCGGTCCTGAAACTGTCAACCGTCAAGAAGGAAGCAGCCCGGACCCAAGGCCCGGACCATGAAAGAACGCCATTCCTGCTTACGTCAAGTCAAGGTAAGGCAGACGATTTTTTACTAGTGCGATATTTCGAGTTTTAAAGCGAGTTTACGGTCCTTCGAATCAAAATCAGCATCACTCTGGAATACCTAAATAAGCTACAGCAAAATCAAAGTGGATAAATCCTAGACGAAATTTAGAGGTCAATCAGCTGATACTTTTAAAAGAGGATAATTTACCACCTTTAAAGTGGGCTCTTGCCAGAATTGTAGAACTTATACCTGGTAAAGATAAAAAAGTTCGTTTAGTTAAAGTTAGGGCACAGGGTGGAATTTTTCTTAGGTACTTGTAAATATGGGCATGGATACTCACTATTGTTTATTAATTTTAAGTTAGTTCTAGAAAGTGCGGGTTTTGGTGCATTGTGTTGTGTTTCGTAAAAGTTGAAGTTTTTCCACTTTTTCCGTAGAAACTCCAAGGCGGGAATGTGTTTGAATTTCAAGAACTTTTTTCGTTTGAGCCATTTATTTTGTAGACGCTCTCAACCACTAAAATTTGATTTAATTATATTGTTTTGGGCTTCCTATAAATTCATATTTTGTAACTACGATAAACCTTGAAAGATTTTTCAGTTTGTTTTCCTGAAAAGGGGGGTTCTTTTCTAGCGATGTAAGTTGCATTATGCAACCTTGCGCATCTCTACTGTGTGTTATGTAGTGTGGTACGTATGTACACCCTGTATAGAATTGTATCAATGTTATGCTTATACTAGAATATTTCATATTATATCCAAATTGCTTAGCTGTTAAGTTTCGAGTTCGATGGCAACGAATTCATATCCTGTGCACTTAGAGTTAACACAAGATTGAATAAACACGTAATGAAGCAAACGTAGAACAGAGTTTGATTTAAGGGTAGAACATCAGAGAAATACTACAGTTCGAGGGAAAATAAAATTCCTTCCCCAACCCTCCTGGTGGGCAGGAGGCAGTAGTGCGTAATACCGAATCTATAGTTTTGACGTTTGACGCTTTTTTCAGAAAGGTAGAAGAATCTTTTTTTTTCCATTTTATACGCGTTCGCGTTGAAAAACATCTTTCAAGTTTTAACCGTTTGGTGTACTCAGGTACTTTTGTTTTTTACGTTCTACCTTCTAGTTTATAGTTATACTATAACCTAAATTTCCCAGTTATAACACCAGCTAGCTCAAAAATATAATGATAAAGAAAGTAGTACTTACTAAACATGGGTCTCTTGGACCTAGGCATTGTTCTCAGCAGAAGGAATCAATAAAAGTCAGGTTCAAAACAAAGGACAATATTTAATTACTAAACCTATGTAGCTTTGGGCAATAGATAACAGGTAACAGTTGAAATGTAAGTAAATGTATAACAATAATAATCGACATCAACATATTACACTAAATAATAAAGTCGTGTTCACATAAGGTCAACGTATTGATTACATAAGGGCAATTAATCAATTACGCTAGACATTTAAACTTTAATTATAAATATGCAAAATCATCCCCTAAAATACCATGGTATACCAGGCGCAAGACGATTATATTTATAGCATGACAATGCCAAGAAAATATGTAACTAAATATATAATAAAACACTCTACCTTAGTAACATTCAACTCTTGAGCATCATTCTAATTATTATGTAAGAAATAAAATAGAGCAGTTATACATTACTCAATCCTGCTGGTAAAATGAAATCAGCAACCAGCCTGGAAAGGATGAGAAACGTCCAGAAGCTACATCAGCTGCTACTGCTACCCATTAGCTACGTGCATTGTGCACCAAACACTAGACTTGATTTAGACATCAACATCAGACACCGGAACAAGACACCAACCAAAACAACGCCCTAGAAAAGGTATTCAGCCTTAGTTCCAGAACTATATTAAATTATAACTAGCTTTGACAGCACAAAGACTAGCACTAGACGGCCTCGACAAACCGGGTCTACGAAGTCTGCACATTTAGAATGAACTTAACGTCACACAAATGGCGCTTTCATAATAGCCCATCATCTAGATTTTATTAATCAAAAACCCTATAGTTTATTCCCTCCCTAATATATATAAAGATAGATAAAACATACCTTCCAACAATCACATTCCTACAACGCCTAAGGACATCATTTCCTCATCCGGCAACACCGTAATTGTCGAAAGGGCATATCTCCCTAATATCACCATCAAGGCACACGTAAGACGGCGGAAAGGCAGGACAAAAATGGACATATAAGCCCTTGGGACCAACTCTCTATAAGTGACGAGAAACTAGGTAATAGTATGGAAATGTGTAGCCAAGAACCATGTGGTTCTTGGGCAGCAAAAGTAAGATAACTTACCAGTCACGTGGTCAAAAATCCCTTACAAAAAGGTTTGTGGAAATCCAAAATTACACGTGCCTCCAGCACAACTTGCGGTTTATCCAGTAAACCAAAGAAACGGATTCCACGCGAAAACTGTAGCCAAAATCCCTTAAGTACAAAGGCGAATCCTAGGACTCAAGCAGGCTTAGCAGCTAAAACGACCATTCAGGCTGAAAGTTGGGGTAGAAAAGACCGAAGAAAGAACTTGAAAGGTTCAATTTCCCCCCTAATGACAAACTGCAATGTCATGGTCAGAACCAGGGACGACTCGTCTCTCTGGGTCTGTTGCCAAAACTCAAAATAATTTCCATACAGTCCCAAAACACTATAGAACTCTTTAAAATCTCAACCAGTTGTCAATTTCCTCAGCTAAATTATAATTTACACAGAAAATTTCAATTCATGAACAAAACGAAGAAAACTTAATGTTGCTACAGACAGCAACACAGTAACAATTCTGTGAACTACGCCAATTACTTTGATTTATCGGTGAAACCCTGACCCAAACTCCAAGCACCTATGCGACATCCCAAGACCGCTAAGGCCCGGTTGTACAATAAAAGTTTAAAGCCCAACTTAGCTAAACCAAACAAATTCCTAAACTTCCGCTTAATTTCCGATACTGTTGTACAAATATTTCCGAGCTAGAGTTTTACTAAGCTTGGTTTTCTTTTTGAACCATTTGGCATCGCTGTATTCCGGTGCCTAAATATATCTTGTTGCAACGCCCTCAGCGAAAAAAGAAAAAAAGAAGAAAATATTCTTTATTTTGAGGTTATGTTTATGTGATTTTTGTTGTTTGGCGGGCCGTTGTTTCCAGTTTTGTTAGATTTTAGTTTAGTGAAGGTTGTGGTTGCGAATTTGAAAATTTATAATTTCGTCTTGTGAAACCAAAAAATGGACTCTAAAGGCAAAGTTAAAAATAGGTCAGTTAACTTTACCCCAATGGAAGAAACCCTCCTAGCCTATTTTGTAAAAAAACATAAAGGCATTTTGGAAAACAAAAAAACCGATGCCGTCACGAATGCAGATAAAAATAAGTGTTGGGTCATGCTGGAAAAAGAATTCAACGCTGAAAGTGGTGCCTCATACAGAAGTGCCCAAATTTTGAAAAAGAAATATGAGAATATGAAGAAACAAACAAAAAAGAAAATAAGTGAAGAGAAATGCTACAGATTTGGAACTGGTGGTGGCCCTTTTCAAGAGTTTACTCTGACGGAAGCCGACCAAACTGTAATAGAAATTTTGGGGGAAACAAGGGTGCATGGTTTGGCCACCCAATTTGGAGGCGATGCAGGTAAATTGATTATTTTCATAAATCATGAGCGGCAAAAATTCCTTGTTTTAATTCCCAGTAGAAAACCCAAGAGTACCCCCTCAAATGCAGCTTATATTTTTTCAGAACCAAAAAAAATAAAAACAAAGCCAAACTCAAGCAATGTACACACTCCTCCTTCACCAACCCAGAATTTGGAGACACATAACAATGAAGGTAAGGATTTAAATGATAAGTATACTGCACCCTATTTTAATTAAGACTGAGCCTAACACTTGAAACTAGTTCTATTGTACCTAATAATATCTGAAGTATTTATTTTATTTTATTGTTTCTAGAAGACATAGAAGCCATACTTATTTACACTGAGGAAACCGAGGAAGCAACGCAAAATGACACTGGTAAGGACCTATAATACCTATACAAAAAAAAAAGCATTTTTTATTTGGCACACTATTGTGAACTACTGCTGATTTGCAAGAAACCAGCCATACGTTCCTGTTTCAAAAACAATAAAAATAATAGAAAATTATTTACTTATTTCTACAAACTTGTTAAAAAAGCAACTTTGAACAACCCCAGTAAACTTAATAGTGTTTCTAGTGATACCTTATCAATTTTAGAAGAAAAAATGTATGCATTGTTTGTCCGGTCTAATTGCATCCTTAAAAAAATGCTTTATGTAATGAAGCTATTGCTATTATCTGTGTTGCATATTTTTTTTTGCATTTCAGATCGAAATAATGAAATAGAATATGTTGAAGACAATGGTCAACATGAAGAAATTATCACTGAAGAAAATTTACAGGAAACAGGTAAACGAAACCTAAAAACATGATTATTGATTGATTGTGATTGGTTTTTGATAAATAAGCCTGTAGAATTTAAATATTCCCCTACTACTTTTCTAATTAAAAAAAAAATGTTTTAAGTTGTAGATATACATGAGGCTCCAGTAGAAACCTGGTCAAAATATAATCCTACTTTATTGAAAACACCAAAGTCAAAAGCTCTCAAACCATCAAGTGAGTATTTAGCCCCTTTCTATGTATTGATTTAAAATTTTGAAGCTTCGGTTTTAGTCCAGGAGGTGGCGCCAAAAACATGCAAGAGTTTTCGCAAGGCGGATATTTTCAAAATAGGTCGTACTTTAGTGCTAGAATGCTAGTGTACAGTCAGTACTCACAGTTCCGGGACAGCTGGCTCTGGGACGCGGGCAAAGTTGTAATTTTAAGAAGCACCTAAACTGTTTTCTCAAAGCTCAAAATTTATAGATATTTTGCACATTATCTGTTTGAAGGTCACAGATAACGTATGTAAATCGTCAGACGTCTAGTTCGTTGCAAAAAGTTTTTATTTTATGGCATTTTCTTCGGTGTCCTGTCAAAATATATTTTTGCAGGTATTTGACAAATATATTTGAAGAAAATGCCATAAAATAAAAACTTTGAGGACGTCTGACCCCCTTTTTGCAACGAACTAGACGTCTGACGATTTACATACGTTATCTGTGACCTTCAAACAGATAATGTGCAAAATTTCTATAAATTTTGAGCTTTGAGAAAACAGTTTAGATGCTTCTTAAAATTACAACTTTGCCCGCGTCCCAGAGCCAGCTGTCCCGGAGTGCGTTCAAAGACGGCAATGCTAATGCCAAAACCTACTGTTCCCCTTCTACCGGCAATGCCAAATCTGGTGTGAATTTGCTGGAACGCCAAATACCGTTTCTCAATTAGGCAATCCAAACCACGTGACATTCAAGATGGCGTGGCGTCCACACATGGACGAAAAAACACAAAAAATATTTTAGTTTCTGCCCAAATCAATAGTTTACGTACCTACAAATATTTTATTAAATAATCAAAATCAAAGCTGCAAACAAAACTCGAAGCAAAATAATTGAAATATGCATAAAAACACATATTCAAAACTAACTTGCTGGCCGCCACGCCATATTGAATTTGGTCTCATCCAATCAAAATTCGTATAACCATTTCTAGACTCATTTAAAAGCACCTCCAAAAGTTACTTTACCGCGGCCGATTCTGAACGTGTAAAGCCAACCGTTTTTGGCACGCTGGAGCCGAAATTGAACGCAATATGCCAATTTTGGCTTGGCTTTAGCCGTTTTTGAACGCAGCCCCGGAACTGTGAGTGCTGACTGTACACTAGCATTCTAGCACTAAAGTACGACCTATTTTGAAAATATCCGCCTTGCGAAAACTCTTGCATGTTTTTGACGCCAGCTCTCCAACTATTTAAACTTATTGAATTGTTTTAGCAAAAACCGGCCAAAACGTGGACAACGTGATTTCGAAAAAAATAAGTCAGTGGGCAACCGTGAAGTCTTCTCTAGAAGAGGAAAAACGAAGATATTTGGAGGAAGAACATGAGACCAAAATTACACTCATGAAAGCCCTTCATGATGAAGAATTGAATATAATGAAAAGGGAATCCCAAATAAGAATACTTAGAAGTGAGGAGGAAAAGAAAATCATTATTGAAGGCTTAAAAGAAGAGCAAGAACAGAAAAAAGAGATATTTGAGCTACAGAAGCTTAAACTGCTCAAAGAAATGAGAAAGTGAAAAGGGGTTTGGACTACTAAAATATTACATTGTTTTTTGCATATTAGTTACTTCAATAAAACTATTTGCTTTTGAAAAAAATCTTTTATTTTATATAACCAAGATAAGCTTCACACATATCCTATAATCGAGCAAAATATTCATCAATTAATTGTCGTCTTCTTAAATTATTTATGTTTTGTCTATATGGTTGTGGTGCATGCACATCGACATTGTTGACAAAATTCAGTACTTCTTCCTCCTCTTGATTTTGAGGTGGTTCAGGTTCTTTCAATAAAATCGCAATATTATGTAACACAGCAGTTGCAATTACTATTCCTTCAACCTTGAACAATTTTGATCTAATTCCAAAGGCTAGTATTGCAAAACGCCTTTTCCATATGCCAAATGTTCTTTCAATCGGATTTCTAGTTCTAATTTGAGACTCGTTAAATAAAGTTTCAGCATTAGTCACAGGATTATCAAGTGGAGTGATCAAATAATGTTTTATACCATAGCCACTGTCGCCAACCATGAGATAATTACCAAAATCCCCTCTTTCAAATTTTATTCGTAGCATTGAATTTGCAAATATTAGGGCATCATGTGTAGAACCTGGCCATCGACACACTACATCTTGAAACATGCATTTAGCATTGCAAACCGCCTGGACATTGAATGATAAAAATCCCTTTCGATTTCTATATAATTCTGCCTCATTGCCACCAGGGGATAATATACGAACATGGGTGCAATCCAAAGCTCCAATGCATGTTGGAAAACGACTTACATTATAAAACTCTTGTGACGATTGCCTCATTTCTTCTTCTGTAGAAGGCATCCGAATAAATTCGTTATAGAGGCTGGCGATGGCTACAGTAACTCTGTGTACAACTCGGGAAGCTGTACTTTTGTGTACCCCAATAAAATCTCCTACCACTTGCAAGAAGCTTCCTGTTGCATAAAACCTCAACGTCATCAAAAGCATGTCTTTAGCAGATACAGCATGGTTTCTGAAAAAAACAAAATATCTTCAGGGTAAGGTACTATATGAATTATGTCTACATGTACATACCTCTCTGTAGGGGAAGTAATTAGGTGTTGTATTCGATTAAAAACGAATCTTACGCCATTTTTTGATAAACGGAATCTTCTCAGAAACTCCTCATCTGACCACTTTTCAAAGTGGTTTTCCCTCTCCTGAAAATGTTGAACCCGTCTCAATCTCCGGTCTTGAACTATGTCTACTAGTTCCAGGAAATCTTCATCATCACTCAAGTAGCCCATATAATCCATTTTTGTTTTTTTTATTTGCCTCTACCTATTTTCACTTTATTTTAATTGGAATTGAAAATAGAAAATCAACATGTAATCAAAATATTACACAAAAACAAATGTAAGGTTATGATTTCCTTAAACTTAGCTTTGTTGCCTTAAACCACCAAAATCCGTGACTTAACTTGAACTAAGCTTTTCCAGCAAGTTTATCTCTAAACCCGTATAGTACAACACACTTTGTTCACTAAACCACTGTTTGTAGTTTATCCTACCCTGAACTCCCATTGTACAACTGGGCCTAAATAATAAAAACCGAAGTGTTCGGAGCACACAGCTGTCCAAGATCAAGTTCAAGTGTCAAAATAATAAATCATAACCAAATAATTAACGGATGGTAAACAAAGCACTGGGCCCCAATTTTTAATAAAGGTAAGTATTGAAATTGAATTCTATTTCATCTTAAGTCATCCTTTTACATTTCAGACGCAGTCCCACAAGGAATATTTCCCCGACAAAACAAGAATACAGGAAAACAGAAGCCCCCTGCCAACCTGTCGGAAAATGAATTGTTTATGTCCATGAAATGATTAAAATAAAAGGATATTAATTAAAAACAATCTTAGAGCTTTGGAATACAATATTAAATGAGAATTTATATAAAACTAACAAATTGATACAGTGAATTTTGAACTGTAACAATACTTCCGTTCTCTTTATAATGCAAATAAATTGGACATTAGTTAATTCACTGCGCGTTTGATTTACGCACCTAACCAAGGGTCTGATTCGTCTAAACTCTAAACTATCGAAGCTTCATATGTGAATTACTTACAGTAGCTATAGAGGAAATTATAGATCGTTTATTACATTTTAAACTCGCTCTACAGCCCATTCTGTTATGGATATAAAAGATTAGGATGCATGGATTTACTGTATTTACGACAGTATCCTTTATAAATTTAAAAATTTCATTGAGAGCATTCAGTAAATTTTAAAATTCATTATGTTTTTAAATTCAAATACCAAGTGCAATCTAAAGTGTTGTAGCGTTTGAAAGCTACTTGGTATTTAGTTGTGAATTTTATTTAAAAATGTCTTGGAACAGCAGGTTCCGTTGATGACATAGCTTAACTGTTGAAATGTCTTTTACCAGACAACCTCTCTCAGTTGTAACCTTGATTTTGCTACTCGCCAAATTTAATATTGTTTTCAGCTGATAATCTTAAACTGTTTATTATTATTATTATTATTGTTATTTTGTAAGATTATTGAGCAATATTTACAATGTTACCGTTTCAATCTATATTTGAGGTTTAATAATAAGATGTAAATAATTTTAAGTTAAGTTAATGTTGTATACAGGCCCTTAGGTTTGTTGCTAAATTCATGCTCCGAATGTCATGTCATTCCTTCCTGTCGTTCTCTAAGCCACTTTTCTGAAAGCAGTCCAACCAGTGTTGCCAGAGGTGGTACAATTGTACCAAATTTGGTACCATTCGCTTTGAAAAAGTACGTTGGTACGACGCTGGCATATTTGGTACAATTTTAAACTTTTTCATTTCCTGCAAATTTTGAAATGAAGTCTACTGTCTACTGTCCAATGTCGAAATTTGTTTTGAATTTCCGTATGTAAATTCGATAGCTCAGTAATTTCTGAATCGTAAATAGATGGCGCCACCAACACTCGATACGTGAATTATCGAACACGGCTCACCATTTGCCATATGTCGATTGTGTCATTGTGCCTTGTCTTTGTCTTGTCAAAACTGTCCTTTTGTTTATGGTTTTTGATATTTCTATTTCGTTTTCTGTTGAAAAATATTTTTTAACTTCTCGGTTCTCATTGAATCCAAATTCTATATAACATTAAATTTGGTACAGTGCTGACCGTTTGTTCTGTAATTAATCTGTTGTGTTGTAAGTTAAGCTCGATCGTTGTTTGATGGTTGCGGTTGTGCTGCAGTATTTGCAATATGAATTATGAAACCGTAAGTAGAAGCATAGCGGAAGCATTCAATGAGAAGCCAGTAAAATTGGCCCTTTATTATTTTAGATTTTTGACCCAGGAATCCTTGGCCTCTGCCAGAGCCTCTGCCTCAACTTCTGAGATCAATATTTCGTCAAATAGTTCGAATGATAGCTTTAGTAATGGTGGTGAATCAACTGACAGAACTCAAAATAATGAAATTGGTGGTAATGTAGGTGTGCGCAAAAAAGTTACAAAAAAATATAGACATAAATTTAACAAAACTTGGATGAAAACATATCCTTGGGTGGTGAATATTGATAATGCAGCATTTTGCAAATCCTGCAACCAAAAAATTGTGGGAAGCTTAACCCACCTAAAACGTCATGAAAAGACAACAAATCACAAGAAAAGGTTTGAAGCTGCCAAATCGACGCGCAAAATAAATACTTTATTAGTTGATAATGATAAAAAAACTCATACATCATAAAACTGTATACGCTTCAGAATTGAAGATGACTATGTTCCTACACGAACATAATTTGCCATTTTTACTGATGGAACATTTACCTAAATTCATACAATCAGTTTGTCCTGATTCCTCTGTAGCGAAAGATGTGAAATGTAGTCGAACAAAAGCTACATTATTGACTACAACATGTCTAGCCAAAGAGAGCCTTGAGGTTCTCCAAAAACAACTCCAAGAAAGTGGCGGACTCTACTCATTAATAATAGATGAGACCACTGATGTGTCGACAAAAAAATCTCTAGCTGTTGTTATTCGCTTCTGCAGGAATGACAAACCTATAGATAGGTTCCTTGGACTCATCGAAGTAACATCTGCTACTGCTGAATCGTTATTCAATGCAGTAGTACAATTACTGAATGATAATAAAATACCTCTAAAAAATATGATTGGTTTTGCTGGAGATAATGCATCAGTCATGATAGGGAAGAAAGCTGGGGTGCAAGCCAAATTTAGGGAAATAAATGACGATATATTTGTATTGGGATGTACATGCCACTCTCTCCACTTGTGTTCTTCTGCTGCTTGCACTAAATTGCCTAAGTCGGTTGAAGAATTTGTCAGAAATTTGTACAATCACTTTTCCAACAGTCCTAAAAGAATGGATGAGTTTGAGGAGTATCAAACATTCTTGCAGTTAAAACCTCACAAATTGCTCCGACGTGGGGATCTATTCTGGAAGTCGTTCGAATAATGTCCGTATACGATAATTTCTCGAATGACCTTTTCGAATACGAATAGTAAATGGTATTCTTGAACACTCTTCGGAAAATATTTCGTATGCGAAAATTTAACTCGTATAAGAAGCACATCAACAGCCAACGGTAGCTTGCGCCAATAATTTTCGATCAAAAATTAAAAAAAAGAAGTATTGTTCTAACCTAACCTTAAAATTTCTTGCTTGTTTTTGTTTTTATTTGAATAATTATTTTGTTTTGGTTTATGGTTTTCGACATAGAGTTTTCGAGCAGAATATTTTTACTTTTACATGGTGATTTTTGGTTTCATTTTTGTTGGCAGCGGCACTTTTGTACTTCTAAAAAGTCTCGAATATGGAAGAGAAAAAGGGTGGAAGTTTAACTCGTGAACAAAAAAAAGTTCTGATACAATTTATAGAAGACCATCCTGAACTTAAAACATCAAAGTTTTCAAAAGATTTTACCTTTAAAAAGGGACAAGCCTTGTGGGAGGAAATTTCCTCAATTTTAAATGCCATGCCGGGCGCAAACAAGGGATGGATAAAATGGCGTA